TCAGACACAGATTTGTCCAGGTGAGGGAATATCATAGATATCTTAGGGACCGGTCATTATTTATGGCGGGGGGTGGCACCGAAGAGAAATGTTTTTCGTGGCAAAAATTTTGCTGACCCAACCATTAAAAAGTCAAAAATTTGATTACCCAACCTCAAATATCAATTTAAAAATAAATACCCACCCATGGCCAAAAACTTTACAATAGTGTGACGTTCTGTCACATGAGTTTGATAACGGATTGTAAAATTTTCTGCAGTTTAAAGTTTCATGTTGTCTGCACATGTACTTTCTTTGGATGTACCATTTGTCTCCCAACAAATCGGAAAATGATCAAGAGATAGTCACTCTGATTGATTCACATACGGTATTGTATTGACATATGACTGACTACTGTTGACATTGCTTTTTAGTCTCCGATATTTCAGTGAATCATGCTTTGGAAATGACAATAATTTTTTATTACCCAACCCCTGAGTTGTTTTGTTTTTCATTTACCCAACCTTTTACTCACTCAAAATTTTGTTTACCCAACCCTCTTCTCTTCGGTGCCACCCCCCGCCATAAATAATGACCGGTCCCTTATATACACTAGATAGTGCATCTAATCATTCAACCTCGTTCCCAGGCTCTTACCGCTGGAATATTCTTGGCTTCAATTTTACTAAAAGAGATGCGCTATCATTCAGCATGCTACGCTGATTTTCAATGGGCCGTGCACACTATACAACATATATTAACCTAATTCTATAATACAAAATAGTGAAGCCTACATACTGGTCAGCTTCACACTATAATATATACTAATACATTAAACAACTAATTATTCTAATTATAGTAAAAACTACTGATATTACTGATTAACCCAAGGGGACTTAATCGATTCTGTAGTGATTGATAAGCACATATTTAGCAACATTTAGTGTGATATTGTCGACGTTTTGTCTAATGCTATCCGGGAGATTGTTCCAAGATTTTGCCGCTCTATATGAGGAACTTTTTTGAGAAAATTAGTGTTAGGTTTCTCAAGGGAAAGTTGGCAAAAGTTACTTCTCAAGTTGTACGTTTCGTTTGAACAGAAATTAAACATTTCTGTGAGATAATTCGGAGAATTAGCATTAGATTGGCATCCAATCAAGTTTTTGAAATATTTCATTGGACCGTACATCGTATGAATTAAGCGCCGGTTATCACACGTGCCGCTTTCTTTTGAAGTTTAGATAGCTTTGTAAGTGTACTTTTGTAGCCATCGTTCCAAACAGTGGAACAGTAATAGAAATTCGGAATTATGAATATCTATTCGGAATATCTATGGGGAATATACTACACGCAACTCTTGTAGTATCGTGTTTACCACGCTTGCCTTTCAAGCTGGTTCAATCCTTGGTCGAACCTCTACTCAAGGTCTTACAGTCAAAGCGGATATGTTCTCTTGCGAGCAACATTGCAATATTGTCCCACAATATTGCAATTTTGATAGGCAGGTTGCTCTGAACAATTTGCAACCGACGCGAACAAGTTGAAATTCACAAAAGATTTGTAAAGAGGGTCCTGAAGGGGTAAAATGGGAACTAGGATTTGCTTATTTTTGGGTGGGAAAATGGGATTTCATGCACTGGGACTGGGATTCATCAGCAAAAAAACAATAGAAAATGGGAATGGGATTAAGATTTGAGCAGGACAGTCACTGAGATGATGGGATTTGTGCTCTGGGACAATGGGATTTAGTCAAAATTTGGGCTGGGAAATGGGAATACGACCCC